CTTCCTCCCCTGGCTGAATCCGGGGGCCTCGGAGCTTCCACCCCGCTGCCCTCCCTACAAACTAGCTGAATTTACCCTGGGAGGGGCCTGTTGGTGTCCTGCCCTCCCACCAAGCTGTGAGTCCCTGGAGGGAAGGTCCTGTGTGTTTTATTTTTGCATTCCTGGCACCCATGTAGTGCCTGGCAGGTGAGCATGCAGTAAATGAACCGAAGTGCCGAATGAGGAGGAGCGATGGATGAGAACAGCAGCGCACCCCTGGTGGCACATGTCCTGGGAAGAGGTGGGGGCCGAATGTATTTGCTAACCTCCCCATGGGTACTGGATAAATGGATGGCTTCCCTGATCGTCAAATAGTTAAAAGCAAGTTTTTAAAATTTATTTTGGTATCATTAATCTACAATTACATGAAGAACATTATGTTTACTAGGTTCCCCCCTTCACCAAGTGACCCCCACATACTCCTTCACAGTCACTGTCCATCTGCGTAGTAAGATGCTGTAAAATCACTTGTCTTCTCTGTGTTGCACAGCCCTCCCCATGCCTCCCCCACACTATACATGCTAATCGTAATGCCCTCTTTCTTTTTCCCCCGCCCTTTTCCCTCCCTTCCCACCCATCGTCCTGTCCCTTTCCCTTTGGTAACTGTTAGTCCATTCTTGGGTTCTGTGATTCTGCTGCTGTTTTGTTCCTTCAGTTTTCCTTTGTTCTTATACTCCACATATGAGTGAAATCATTTGGTACTTGTCTTTCTCCACCTGGCTTATTTCAGTGAGCATAATACCCTCTAGCTCCATTAAAAGCAAGTTTATATAAAATTTTTGTAATCAAGTTGGAACCTCCCTTATATCTCAAACTAAAATACCTGATTGAGCAGTTCTTGTCCATTTACAAAGATGTTAAGCCAGGAGCTGCAGGTGCTGTTGGGCTTTATAAACAGAGGGAGGGTTGGGGATTAACCTTTACCTGAGGCCTAGTCTATACCCAGGCTTTAATCCTCCTGTGTACCTGGTGAGGTAGATAATCACTTCATTTTACTAATGAGGAAACTGAGTTTGGAGAAATTGCCAGTTCACATTTGGGGCTATAGTGTGGTAGACCAGTATTCTGAGCCAGGACTTCGAATTCTGGGCTCTGTGACACCCCCAAGCTCCTCTGACAAGGAAGCATTCCCATAAATGGGCTGAGATTTATAATTCTCTGTATAAAATGGGAGCATTTGCTCATGTGGGTTGTTCTCTAACCTGGACAGATAGCTTGGAAAGTTCTTGGACACCAATGAACTGCCTGGAAACCCAATAATCTTGACTGTTCAGAGAAAATCTTTACCAGAACTTTTTTGCAAGATAAGTTACAAAGATGTGTAATTTGCCTCAAATTCTCTTCAAGGTTGTTCTTCAAATAAATATTTCCCAATGCAAAGGAGACCACAGTTATTTTAGATATTTATCCTTTGAAAGCTGAATTCACTGCTCTTTCTTAGTTTTACAAGAACACATCTTCATGATAAGCCGCTATAAGGACAGTAGGTTTTGCTTCTCCTACAAATCTGAATGTGGTAATGACTAACATTGAACTCAGTAATAAGTGAGGATAATTTCAGAACACTTGGCTTTGTTTTAAAGGGCAAGATTTTGGAAGCAGGCTCACAGGACTCCATCCAGATCCGTTTTCCTGGCACATAGCTAGGGGACTGTGCCTGAGCTCTAGGTGAGAGGAGAGGGCAGCAGAGGCCACCTCACTCCCTGTGGACCTGGCACTGGGGTAGAGAGCACTACAGGACTCCAGGCGCCAGAACCCCATGGCACAATGGCCTTTGGATGCCTTTACGTGTCCTGGAAAGGAGAGGTGGCCCCTTTCCAACTCAGGCTAAGGCTGGGACAGACCTTTGGAGCCAGCAGGAGTCCAGGATTTGGAGGCCACAGTAGCTCCCTGCACCTCTCTGTCCCCCTGTACTCGCCGGGCCTGCTGCCTGCTCCATTTCTCACTGATCCACACACAATTCTAAAATAAGAATATGTAACTTTGCTAGGCTTATTTCTCACCTTGCATCAGTGTTCACCTTGATTATGAAATAGGGTTTCTGAATAAGTTGCACATCATACCTAGCTGGGTCTTGACTCACTGCCTGAATTTTCCATGTCTTTTTGGAGATAAAGCAAAATCTCTGGCTTGGTGAATGCTTTCTTATTATTCATCTTTTTCCATTCAGTGTTTTGCTTTGGAAATTCAGTGTATATTAAAGTGTCTGTACCTGCATTTATGTTAGGATTTTTAAAAACACAACTTCAATTTTTGGTAAAGGAAGAAGAATATCAGGGGAGGGGGGATGACATTAGAACAAAGAAAACAAGGTTTTCCAGTTCATTCTCCCTACTAACTACAGCTCTCATGTGCTAGATATAATGCTACTATCTATTAAGTGCTTATGGTGTTAGGCACTGTTCTAATGACTGAGAATATATTTTATCACTGAATCTTCACAGCAATCCCAGCAGGTAGGATCTGTTCTGATCTGACCCCCCATTTTACAGATGAGGAAACTGAGGCTCAGAGATGTTCCTTGCCAAAAGGTACCCAGAAAATAAGAAATGGGGCCTAACTGTTAATCCAAGCATTTTGACTTTAAAGCACTTGTCCAAAACTACATGGAGAGAGATGAATCACAAGTCAACTCATATGGAACAGTTCCATGGAATTTATGAATATAATTGAAAATGCATGAATACCTTCTAATAAGAGTGTGAAGAATGATGAAAATCTGACATCTTCTCAGTTATAAATCTATCTGTAGAGGGCTCTGATGGTTCCTATGTTGTAAATAGCCATTGTAGGGATTCTAGATGGTAGTTTGCATGTAAGGCAATCTCTCCTGTAGCATGGGTTGTCATTACATAGGTGTGCATGTAGGGCGAGCCACATTCCCCCACTGTATTCTTTGTTCAGGAGAGGTCCGGCATAACTCAGCATGGAAGTTCCGCCTATTAGGCAGGTTGCAAAGGGCTTACACTGCATTTGTTGCTTCAGTATTGCACAGAACCTCGGATCTGACGTATGAAGAAGTTTTGGTGATGCTGCCAATTTAGGATTGCCCCCAAAATGCCTTTGGAAAATATTTCCCTACAGAGGTGAAGAAAAACAGGAGACTATGAATTTAGTTGGTGCACTAGGTCAAGGTCTCCAGATAATTCAGGCCCCAAGTCCTCTTTTTCTATAGTAGCAGGGTATTTATGTAAATTCTCGGAGTTGTCTCTGTCGCCCAACTAGTCTTTTCCTGAAGAGACTCAGCTTAAATTCTCCCACGTCTCTGGGCTCTCATTTTGCTGTGCTAATTGAGGAATTCTGAGGGGGAGTCAACACACATAAAACAAATGGATCATAACACACCAAGGCTTTGCTTTTAGCCAGCTTCATGGTCAACCCAGTTTGCTGCACAACTGACTTGGCTTCTGTAGCGATGGACATTAATCGCCAGGCCCGCTCTGCTCCTGGGACAGCAAGGCCACAGTCCAGCTTATGGCTGCGTGGACATAGTCTAGGACCACACACGACGATAAAGGCTTTTACTATAAGTAACATCCCTCATTTGATGAAATAGATATCTTTCTGCCAACTTGGCTCTCTTGGTGTTTTCCAGTCTAGTAATTCGTCAAATTTGATGCTTTATAGAATGTAAAGTGAATTCATTCTCCCTTTTTGTCAGTGTGGTAAGCTCCATATGGAGTTTGCTCAGTTGGAAAAACATCTGTATTAATCAGACAAACTAAAATCATTGAGTGGGCCTAAACTATTCATTTTAATGATTTTTCTCCACAGATGACAAAGCACACCATTAGACAACAGCTACCCAGTTTTAGCAAAAAGGCTAAAAATTATATTGAGTGAATGGAGTTGCATTTATTTAAACTTAAATTCAATTTATTCTATTAAAAACATCCCCAATTCAGTGAGTTACAACATGTATTTTGAAATATTTGGGGAAGGATCTTATCTGCCCTATTTCATTCTTAAACAGCTGAATTAAAAACTTAATTCCTAACTAAGCATGTTTAAAATGAGAAATTGTTAACTATGATGATATTTTCCCCTGATTAAATAAGGAAAATGAGTTGGGGCTTTGCCTGGAAAGACATCGTTTTTTTTTACTTCATTAATGCAATAAAATGTGGGTGGTTAATCTGAGCGAGAGCTGCGGTTTTCTGAAAATGCTTTAAGATTTGTCTGGATGGGTGGATGTATGACAGGCGCTATTTAGGATTAGAAAGTGGTTGTGATTTGGCTTCAAATGAATTGCACGCTATTTACGAATTCTTCAGCAGTTAATTTGGATCATTTCCATTCCCCAGCAAGCAGAAGGCTGACCTTTCTGCCTAGTTACCCCAATTTCAACGTGAGCTCCCGGAGGAATCAAGTTTGTCCTCCAGATGTTGGCTCTGATGGGATGAGCCTGGGGGACTCTAAACTTTCACTTGAATTTAATCCCCCTTTCTGGACACTATTAAATCACTCCTGCTTCAAGAAGTGCTCAAGCAGACGACCTGTCTTTGCTTCAAAGGCAACTAAAAAGTGAATTATTTACCAAATTGCACAAAAGAGAGGATTTATCAAGCCCCCTTTCTCTTAGAGGACAACCCCAGAAGTGGAGGACTTTATTACTCTCTTTCTTGACTATAAATTATTCCATTCAGATGCTTTTGAAAGCTTCCCTTCATGCTCCCTCTTGAGTCATAAAACTTGATACCTGGGGCCAAATGCCTTTATCCCCCCTCTGAAGGATAAAGATGAAAAGGCGGCAATTCTGGGCCCCCCGAAACCAGTAACTGGGCAGAAAATGTGAGCAGAGACTGTTCTCCACATAATTCAGGCCTCCTTGACCGGACAACTCCACTCTGACATGAAGCCACTTGGAAAACACTAGGTGTAACCCATGCCACCGGTTTGTTGTCATTATCTTTACTCCTGGGATTTTAGCTTTGGTGACTATCAAGAAGCCAGCCACTCACCTGGAGAGGGGTTGCTGGGGCCTGCTTTCTCTGGTTTCTGTGGAGTTATGGTACTTTTATGTTTCTGCTTGACTGATGATTGGTCAATTGCTGGAAGTCTGGAATCACACTTAACTGCAGGATTCTCAGCAGATAATCTTGTTTCGGTTAGAGGATCCTCTTCACCAGAACTCTACCAAAAATGAAAGGTGTCTGAGTATCAGTGGCCTAATCGGTCACCTTTGTGGGGCAGAGGGAGAAGGGACGAATCAAGTGCAGCGAACCGCCGGCAGCAACCTGCAGCCTCCTGCCATGCTCACCACACCTGTTCACCAGTGAGTTTTTGATAGACTGGGTGTGTTAACTTAGAAATAAAAGCAAAGTTAATTACTGTTTTGCAGAAGATTTTGAGATTGCACTTCTTTGTGTCTCTCTTATAGAACATCATAAAAAGAATGCATTTCCAACCCTGAAGTCATTTGCTGACTGAGAGACAGCTCATGGTAAAAGCTGCATATGAAGGCAGGAGAAACAATCAGGGCTTTAAAACTTCCTGCTATTTGAACTACTTTGTGGATGGGCAAAGAAAAAAATGATCCTTATGCTAACCATATACTTGATGATGAAAAGGAAATTTAGATAGTGTATTGAGACTGAATAAGACCTCAGTTTAATATTCCAAATTATTGGGTGTAACATAAGACAGACTCACCTTTTAAAAAGTCTTCTGAAAAGAAGTCAGTATAAATCTACTCATGGACAAATCGTAATTCCTGCAGTGTCAGAACATCTCAGCACAGCCTTGCAGACGTGATGAAAATCATCCGGGCGTTCAACTGTTTTATACTTTGCCGTACTTACCCCCACCCAAAGAAATGATGAAACAGTGTAAATGATGATGAGATGTAGCTGGTCTTAAAGGGTGATTTATATCCTGCCTTATGATTTTAGACCCTGGTGTTCATATGATTTGCTAGGTGATACGCTCTGCAACAAACAAAACTATGAGGTTCCCTCCCTTCTTTTCTGGGGGCAGGGTCACTAAATTCTACTTTGCACATTAATCTGGTATTGGAAAGTCCTCTGAAAATGCAGTCTTTTGTAGCAACAGAAGGCTAAATGAATGCTCCTCTCCACCTCCCCAACCTGTGGCAATTTGTTTCGATCCTAGTCATCGTTCTCGCTGACAGTTGTGCCATTTTCATTTCAAGGCTCCTGACTCAGGAAAATACTCTGAGTGGCTTTGAGTTATTGGGTACAGTGTAAGACAAACTAAACTCTAAAAAAGCCCCCTACTTTTCAGTCTACTGTGAGGAAATCCGTACAAATTTACAGGTGGACAGTTGATTATCCTCCAAGATTACAAATCATGTTTTGTAATTTAGAGTTGGGATACAGCTGTCAAACAAATAATTACTATCTCTCCCTACATGTTCAGAAAACAGACTGCCCTCAGCTAAAAGGACAGAAAGAGGAAAGGACACAATGGATTGGTTGTTTTCCCTTTTCCCTTTCGATTCTGAAGTCCTTGAAAATTATTCTGAAATGTCAAAGATAAAGCATTAGGTCATTTCTGAACATAAGGTGGGCTGTCTGTCCTTGGAGAAGGAAATGTGGGCAGATTTTAACTATGACACCTAAGGTTGTCACAGGCCAGAACGTAAGTGAACATGTGGCAGAATTTCTGCCACAAACTGCCCAACACAAACCACACATATTACTGGGTGAAGTCTGCTCACACGGTGATCTATTCTTCAGCCCTTTATTTCCAGCTAATGGGAAGGCAAGAGACACGCTCCGGGCTAAGGATCCCAATACCCATGATTAGAGCATCGGGCGCAGTAACGGTGTTCACTGTTGCTGGTGGGTCCGCTCCCTGTTCCCCGTTCCCATCAGCGGGTGTGTGATTCTTTGCTCGCTCTGGGAAGTGGTGAATTGGGAGGAGTTGGCGAAGGGACTCTTTATTGGGTAGGGTGTTAAGCCACATTTATCATTCCTTTATCCATTCATTATACCTCAAGCCTTTAGGAGCACCAGAGGTGGGTGGCAGCGTGGCTGGGATAGCATGCCTCCGTGTGCGGGACTGCGCGCCTGCATTCTGAGCACATCCTTCTCTGGCTTCTGGTTCCTGGTTCCATCAGCCTTACTTATGCAATCATTCTTAAAAGTGCAGAAATGGCAGCTAGAAGTGGGCGTGTTGTTAGCTGAAAACTAAAGTAAAGCCACCATAGCAAGAACTATAACACGAGTGAGCTTGCTTAACTGAGTAATCTTAAGCCGATCCTTCAGCCTTCTGTATCTTTATGTCCTTTCATATACTCAGCTATTCTCTTGGGTCCTGTCTCGTGAAAACCCACCATGTCATCTGGGGAGGATGATCCTTGGGTGGAAGATGTGTGGTAATTCATTCTGGCACTAAAGCACAGTATTTAAGACTCTGAATGGAGCCCAGCTTTCTGGGAGTGAATCCCATCTCGCACGTGGTGGTTGTGTGACATAAGGTTAGTGTTAGTTACCCGTGAAGAACAGTGTCTATCTTTTGGTGGTTCTGTGGGGATTAAATGAGTTAAGATATATGTATGGTACTTATAACAGTGCCAGGTACACGGTAAGTGCCATGTATGTGCTGGCGTTTGCAATTAGCAATTAATTCATGTTCAGCCATTTAAAAAATTAACTAAAAAAAAAAAAAAATTAACTAGCTAACTACTGAACATTAACTACCTACTGTCAAAACCAAAACCAAAGGCCCCTGTGAAAAATTCTCACCTATTCCAGATATGAATGAAAGGGTGGGTGATTCTGACAGCAGACTCTTGGTTAGAAGTAGGTTATATAATTTATGATAGTCTTACAAAAATGCAGTTGAAATTTATCTAGTATTAAGTGTGGGGGCCCGGCCTACTGCCGAGGCTGAGCCCCACTCTAGCTGGACACCTGCTCACCACCCTTTCCCCTCTTCCCTGTTGGGGATTGGCCCAGCAGACTTCCGTACCCGGGCACAGCTCGTGCTGCCCGCTTAGAGTGGCGCGTGACACCTATCCGCTTAAAGGTCACGCATGATACTGTCCCGGATTGGTTGGGTGACTGAATATAAGGGAGCCCGCCGGGAGGGAGAGGAGCTGCCTGACAACTGCTGTAAC